TCAGGGAGCAAATAATGGCTCATATTATACCTCCTCTATAATTTGGTTCATCTTTTTTTCCAGAACCAGAGGAAGTTGCCAATACAGCTGCACTCCTTCTCAGTGACTATGCATCTATGATAAATGGTGCCTTGGTACCAGTCGACGGAGGACACATTATACATATGTCACCTAACCCTATCCAGTAGTTAACGTTGAAACCTTTATGACGATACAAAATATAAATAAGGATACATTTTAAGTAAAACACGTAATCTAACCGGATATATCTTGCACGATCATGCAATTACAGCAAAAATATAATCTACCAGTCATTTTTTACATGTTTTAAGGACTTATTAGTTATTTTGTGATATGAACTCAGCATTCATTATTTTACGTAAATATGTCAAAGCGGTGTCACAATATCCATTACTACCCCTTTACACAATTCGGATATCAATATTTAGTTCTGTGGAATCATTAATTTTCGTGGATACCAATTTTTGGGGATGAAGGAACATCCTATTTTCGTGGATATATATGATTTCATGGTTTTGCCCCAATGTCTGCATACAAGCATAGAGGAAATGTGCACCTCGTTGATCATTTGAATGTGTTGGTCACCTCTACCTACTCAATCCACGATTAATAATTGTGTTTGGCATGTGAGTGGTAGCCATGATTATGCATGGTCTACAATTGTGCAATGGGTCAACTATGGTTTCTTGGTGAGAATGGTTAAACCATTGTTGAGCATAGAAAATAAATTTATTTATATATTATGAATATCGATGATGGTCTGGATTCATAGATTGGTCGAAAATGTTTGGCAATAATAATTAGATTATATGATCTTTTGTCACTTGGGACTATCCTTACCCATGGTTACCTGGGCCTGAAATGCAAAAAAAAAACAAACTCAAACAGTTTTGTGTTATTCCATTTTAACAATTAAAATCAGCACACTTTCTCTTTACAATTTAAAAAAAAAAAAATTTCTAGACTGCCTGATACGTGGCTGTTATTTTTGTTTCTTTAATAGACTTAAATTATATTTGAAAATACATTGTAAAGATATTCATCGATTTTGGTTTTTGCTTGGATATTTTGGTTAGCCTTTTGGCCCGTTATAGGCTGTAGAAGCAAATAGTCCGGCGTGAATAAAAACAGAAGAAGCCTATGAACACAATCTTATAAATCAAGTTAATTGTCACATTGGCTGATTGTATAAGCAAGTGCATAATCAGTGTGTCCATGTGACCAAAAAGGACCAAATAAGAACAGTAAAATCCAACTCTTAGGTCATTTTTGCATGATTGTTTTAAATTTTTTGATGCACTTATGCAATATCAAAATATTTTAGTATTTAGTTACCATTTTCAGATGATTTTCTGCTGAATGATTGGCTTCTTCAAATAGAAGTTGTAAAATCAGTTCATGTTTATGATATTATAGATTTTGAAAATTTAAAAGAAATGAATGCAAGTTATGGCATTTTTATCCTAAATCCATTGGATGAGTATTTATTTATATTTCAATCATGGTAAAAGATTTTTTATCAGTTGTTGTTGTCTTTTGACGAGTTTTCATTGTTCCTAATCTGGCTAAGACCATATATGACTGAGGGTGGGAAAAAATCTTGATTCATGAGATTTTAACATCGGTAAATAAAGGCAACAATAGTATACCGCTGTTCGAAATTCATAAATCGATTGAGAAAAAAACAAATCCGGGTTACAAACTAAAACTGAGGGAAACACATCAAATATAAGAGAGAACTACGACACAACAGAAACACAACATTAAAATGATACACACACAGAAACGAACTATAATATAGCAATGGCCATTTTCCTGACTTGGTACAGGACATTTTAAGAAAAAAATGGTGGGTTGAACCTGGTTTTGTGGCTAGCCAAACCTCGCACTTTTATGGCAATGTTAAATATAACACTAAAATGACACCATTACATGACATGAATACAGTACAACATTACGGACAGAGAATTACGCAAATAAACAATACAATATAGTACATTTGGACAACGAAACAACAGAAACACTAAAGTGAACAAACAACAAACGACAATGCAACACACACAGAAACAAACTATACGATTAGAATTGTCATTTTTCTGACTTGGTACAAGACATTTTTATGAAAAAAATGGTGAGTTGAACCTGGTTTTGTGGCTAGCCAAACCTCCCGCTTTTATGGCAATGTTAAATATAACATTAAAATGACATTTAAAAAGGTTGCAAAAAATTTAATTGTTTATGAACAGTAAATCGATAGTTTATGAACAGTAAATTGATAGTTTATAAACAGTAAATTGATAGTTTATAAACAGTAAATTGATAGTTTATGAACAAAAAATTGATAGTTAATGAACAATACATTGATAGTTTATGTGCAGTAAATTGATAGTTTATGAACAGTAAACTAAAAGAAGTTTATTCTTTCAGCAATATTTAAAACGTCATATTTTCGGATTTTTTTTTATTAACATACATCCACTTGTATTTGATCTTTGTTGAATAGTTGTCTGACAATAATACCACATCTCCTTATTTTTATATAATAGCCATGATGTCTGAAAACCTGCCGATTGTGTTCTTTCCTTGTTGTGATGTTCGACGGAAGGTTAATTTACATGCCGAATTGTACATGTAAAACATGAGAAAATAAATGTCGACATATTCGGTCGTGCTCCACCCTGAATTCATGCGATTCCATTAGGGTTTTTGACCTCGAATCGCTCACCTTGTTAAAATATGCCATTTAGATGCTTATTTTACTTTGGTCAGTCAAGTTTGTCTATAAATCTAATTACAGACATTTTTGTATCGCCTTCGACGAAACTCGCAGTATGCGAGACATAGGTATTACTATCGCGGCGGCGATGTAAACTTTTTGTATAAAGTTTTATATTTCAGAAGTTAGACGACCTGGATGTTTCATACCTTGTATGCAGATACCGTATGTTACGAAGTGTCCGTCTGTCATATGTCAATTGTCCGTTACCTTATTTTCATGGTCCAGTGACTGCTCGATAAAAAATCTTTGTTTTGTCCTGTGAATTTCTCACTTATTATGAGTAATAGGATAATTATACTTGGTATATGGGTTGAAACGCCTACATGACCTTCAGAGAGGGTTTCACCTGACCTCGACCACATTTCATGGATCAGTAATCAAGGTTAAGGTTACATGATTAGGTCCATTTCTCAGATACTATAAGCAGTAGGTCAACTATATGTTGTGTATGGAATGATTGTTAGGGGTATATGCCAGTCTGGCAGGTTTCATTTGAACGTGACCTCACTTTCATGGTTCTTTTGTCAATGTCAAGTTTTTGTGTTTTGGTCGGTTTTTCAAGTATTATAAGCAATATGTCAGCAATACTTGGTGTATGGAATGATTGTAAGGTGAACATGTCTGTTTGGCCTGGTTCATCATACCATGACCTCATTATCATAGAACATTGATAATGTAAATTTTGTGTAATAACCTTCATGTAACACACTTTCAACATAAACTCAAATTAAGCGAAAAATTTCAGCGTGTGCACTTTTGTTTAGATCTTGTATTGATTATTTTTTTTCCTTTTTACAGTTTACCTATCTATTTAGATTCAAAGTAATTGGCAAAAGTATGGAAATTAGTATCAGAATTCGCCACCATAGTGCTATAAATACTTGTAGATCTTATTTTTGCTACTTTTTTTCTTTTTAAAGATTCTCTTTTCACAATAGGTTTTGACAAAAATAAAAAAAATAAATCATGGGCAATAATTCATATAAGGAGACGGTTGTCAATTCCGGACATGTTGACATGATTGTAAATCTTATTGTGCTGAAAATTTTTGCCTCTCTATCTATTATAGTTGTTGCAAAATAAAACACAAAGAGGTTAAAAAGGCAATAGCTTTAAAGGGGTAAATTGACTAATTCAACCATGTTGACTTATATCTAAATCTTATATATTTGTGCTCTATATTGTTACTTTCTATCTATCATAGTTTGTGATAAAAATTCATAACATGATAAAAACGTCATTCAGTGACAATAGCACCTTTAAGGAGTCAGTCGACAAGTTGACTTATTAGCTTAACATCTTTACCAATTACAATTACAATTTCTCTCTTTCAATTATGGTTTCTGCAAAAATGGATACAAACCATCTCTCAGTGGCAATGACGTCTATAAGTTCAGTGTGCACCACATTTTTGATGTTATTTCTCCGAAGACAGAAAACAAATATTACAGTCCTTCCTCAAATGTAATTCGGAAAAAATGAAAATAAATATTTTCAAAATTTTGCAGTGGATACTGTTTTTTTGGTCATAATTAGCTTCTGTCAAAATTTAATAAAGTTCCATGAATGTTTGATAAAGTTGTTGATGACTGAAAAACTTTAACCTCAGACTAAATCAAGCTTCTACCTAAATTTCATAAAATTCCATGTAGGTTATTAATGTCTAAAAAAAAATTAACCACAGACTGAATCTAAATGTTGACGACGCCGACGACAGAATCTAGGATTTATGTCTCGCTTCCGCGACATAAATTTCGCAGGCTCGACAAAAATCATCGAAAAGCTAAAACAAAAGTTAAAGGGACGAAATTGTTTTTTTATTTATTTATATAGCCAGAAAGCCATAAGAACAAAATTATTATATACTATAGATTCATGACTATTCATTGGATACCAATTTTCGGGGATTTAGATATTAAAGGTAAACCAAATTGAAATGCTAAATGAAGTACATATTTTTTTAATCCTTGTATGATGACTTTGGATAAACCAAGAAATCATATAATATATCCACTAAATACAATTTTTCTCAACGAAATAAATAAATCCTCATTACTAAAATATAGCTACTCTTTTCGTCCAAATCGTGTTAAAGGATTGCAATGAATAGTGTAACACCGCTTGCGAATGATTGAACAGGTACGTCAAATGAGAAAACGTAGTGTAAATGCCGAGTTCATATCATGGAATAACTAAAACGTCCTTCTCACCTATTTTATTTTTGCTTTAATTGCACAATCGTGCAAGATACATCCGGTCAGGCTATGTGTAATTAAAAAGTATCAATGTTACTACTTGACAGGGTTAGGTGACATATGTATTATGTGTCCACCGTCCACGGGCACGACGGCACCATTTATCATAGATGCATAGTCACTGAGCAGGAATGCAACTGTATTGGCAATTTCATCTTGTTCTGGAAAATAAAGGTGTTCCAAATTATATATTTTTCTCTGAAAATTGCATCAAAAGAAGAATTCTCCAGTTCATTCAAATGTATGCTATTTTGAAGCATAAACAGACGTTTAAATTGTCATAAATCACCACATATGGCTATTTTTCATTAGCGTTTTTGTCAAAATAGGTATGAACCAAGGCCATACCGGAAAAAGACATTTAACTTGAATACACATCCGTGTATAAGATATGTGCCATTTTGTACCATTTCGTATTATCCGAACAAAATACATTTTTACTTTTTAAACAACAAGCAAATTTCTTTTATTTAACTTTCAGTTACAGTCTGTCATACAAGTGAGAGCTATAAAGCCAGGTTTAATCCACCATTTTCTACATAAGGAAATGCCTGTACCAAGTCAGGAATATGACAGTCATTTTCCTTTCGTTAGATGTGTTTGAGCTTTTGATCCTGCCATTTTATAAAGAACATTCCGTTTTGAATTTCCCTTCGAGTTCTGTATTTTTGTCATTTTACTTTTTACATAAATTTCAATGATTGTTTACATGTCATATATCCCTGGATGATAAAGGATTCTACCAACAGAAGAAAGTCTGCTTTATATCTTGATGTTGACCTCGATATTGACACATATGGACAACTTCAAACTAGAATCTATGACAAACGTGATGATGACAACTTTCCAATTCTCAAGGTTCCATTCATAGCATACTTTGCGCCATTCTATGGCTTTTATTTATCTCAATGTATACGTTGCACTCATGCTTGTTAACAATATACTAACTTCGTTCGTTTATTAAGAGATATGATTTTCTAATTCAAAACGATAACAGTGGCCTTGGCATACCTTCTTTTTACTTGAATTACAAGTTTACCTTTTCTCACAATTTTGACGCTCCTGTTCCTATGGTGATTTATATAAATATAAAGTAAAGTGGTGTTTTGAAAGATATAATATGTAATTGTTACTGATACATATTCCAATTTTGCCAAAAAAAATATTGATCTAATTGTTTGCTTTACATTCAGTGTTAAGCATGTGTTACATGTCCAGACCCAGATTTAAAATACCAATTTTTGTCTTTAAAATTTCAGAGGAAAATACTAGGATATATACCAAAGATGCGAGTTTTCCGAATTAGACTTATTACCGGATTTGTACTACATGAGCAACACGACGGGTGCCACATGTGGAGCAGGATCTGCTTATCCTTCTGGAGCATCTGAGATCACCCCATTTTTGGTTGGTTCGTGTTGCTTATTCTTTAGTTTTCTATGTTGTGTTTTGTGTACTATTGTTTGTCTTTTTCTTTTTTAGCCATGGCGTTGTCAGTTTCTTTTCGACTTATGAGTTTGAATGTTCCTCTGGTATCTTTCGTCTCTCTTTTCCACATCTCTCCTTCACGCAAAATGATAAAAATATAAATAAATGACATGTTTGGACGAATATATGTACATCAAATATCCAAATTCGCGTACTTCAATAAAAAAGAAGTAATGATAGATTAAACAGAAATGTCTTCTTCTTTCTTTCTTTTTGCTATCTTGCGTATTTTACCTTATAGTGACATAATTTCATAAATAAAATTGGCTTTATCTGGCAAAACCTTCTGGAATTGTTGGTCCTCACTTCTCTTCGACTTCGTACTTTATTAGGCCTCTTTTTCGATCGTCTCTGATCTAAGTCTTTTGTGGACGAAACGCACGTCTCGTCTATACGATTTCAATCTGGGTATCTATTTTGAGTTGTATTACAACCACTTGGTCGATGCCACTGCTGGTGGGGTTTTTCTCTCCAAAGGTATAACCAGCACAGTAGTCAGCACTTCTGTGTTGACATGAATTGTCATTGATTTGATCATACTTATAAATTAACTGTTTACAAAACTTTACATTTTTCGAAATACTAAGGATTTTCTGTCCAAGGAATAGATTACCTTAGCTGTATCTTGCAAAACCTTTTGGAATTTCTTTTGGGTCTTTGATGCTCTTCAATTTCGTACTTTATGTGGCCTCTTCAACTTTTTTATTAGAGCTTTACTGATGAGTTTTTGTAGACAAAACACATCATGCACACGTCTAACATTTAATCCTGGTATCTATGAATAGTTTTATGAGCTCAGTAGTCAGTACTTTAGTACTGACATGACTTATAACAAATAAAGGCAACAGTAGTATGCCGCTGTTCAATAGTCATAAATCGATTAAGCGAAAACAAATCCGGGTCACGAACCAAAACTGAGGGAAACAAATGTTTACAAACCTTTCTAAAATTGTCCGTTTATAAATTTTGATATTTAAAGAAACTAAGGTTTCAACTCCCTTAGGCAAAATAGACCTAAGATTGATTTGGCTATATTTATGTATTTTTTGTCATATAGCTCTTCAACTGTTTTGATTCTTAAACAACCTCGGCTTTCAAAATTTCGGCTTTGAGCGTTCCTGATGAAGTTAAACCCAGAAAAGTGCTTTGGGCGCCTGAAATTATTTTACTTGTTGTTTTCATTTTTCTATTGGACTACCACTGTAAATTGTTATGTACAGGACATATAGAGCTCTAGAACTGTTTGTTTTGCATGAACTGTACTACCTATGAATCGTCCCATCGGTATTCTTCCTGTAAAAGCATCTCTTTGTTCCTGAGAGGCCAAAAGCATCGCACCAAGGGGGGTTAATACTCCACCTGGGTTACAGCTGTTTACACGAATCTAGCAATATAAAAATTCCGTGGAAAATCAAATCTTCAACAGAAAAAATAATACTTAATTCATTAACATTTGACATGTCCGGAAGTAAAATTTTTAAACAAAGAAAGCTATTTGCCCAACATTTACTGATATTTATTTAGAGCTTCAGGAATTATGATGTTTGGATTTTCAACTCTTTTGATTCCAGCGCACCTAGTGAGTTTAGCTTAGAATAAATGCGCGTTCTAAATCAAAAGCCGGGTATCTTTGAAGAGTTTTTTTTTTCATACAAAGCTTCCAATGAAAACTAGACATGCGATGAACATTTATTTCTGTTTGAGAACGAGCTTGAAACTTTAAAAGCAACCAAGTGTAGCAATTGATTAGTATTTCAAACCCTTCTCTGACATTCCACACTAAATGCAACGTACGAATAATATCATTAAATAATCAATGCAATTATTTATTATTAAAGAGGTCATATATAATAGTAATCTTTAAAATTTGTACTTCAATTACTGATTCTAAAAATAATATAATCAACATATTTATAGCTTGCAAAGGGAAGTAGTTCAGGAATTTACCTATAAGTCAAAGTTTACCTTAAAAGGTCCACACTCTAATGCCATAGACTTTGTAAGCATATCCATGGCTGCCTTCGTGGTGCAATAAATAGGAAAACCAGGCGTAGTTAGAATACCGGAGATACTTGAAATATTCACAATGGCGCCACTTCCTTTCCGTGAAATAATTCCTTTGGCGACGATCTGTAATGACGCAAATATTGCAACATGCATGGTGCATACTTGAACAAATTGTTCAGTAGCATGAATGATTAATGACAAAAAGTGTACCGTTTAGAAAATATTGAAAAATTAAATAACAGTTTTTACATACATGTATTTATTGTATAGTTAACTGCATTCACTGTATCTAACTGGAAAATGATTGCAATGAAATAGATTTTGAATAATATGGTAACGGTTTTCATGGTTAAGTTTAAGGCGTTTTAAGATTTTGCAAATGATATAAAGATAAGAAGATGTGGTATCGTTGCCAATGAGATAACTCTTCGTGATAAACCAAATGACGAAGACGTCAGAAATATAGGTCATCATACGACCTTCCAACAATGAACAAAACCCATACCACATAGCAGGTTTTAAAAGCCCCCGACATGACAAATGTAAAAGAATTCGAAGGAGAAAACTAACTGTTTGTACAAAAAAATAAAACAAAAATAAGATATACAGCAACAAAAGACAACCACTGCATAACAGGCTCCTGAATTGAAACAGGTATATACAGACTATGTCGGGGTAAAATATGTAAGTGAGCACCGAGCCCTTCCCCTTACCTATGACAGTGGTCCAACAGCACAACATAAGAAAAAAAAGAGTAAATTTCCAAATGTATATAGCTAGTTAATGTATTCATGCAATACCTGAGATATGTTCAAAGCTGCCTTAAAGTTTACGTCAAAATGTCTACAAAGAAATAATAATGCAGGTTAAAAGATTGAACCTTACAATTTGCTATTATATAATAGTTTATAAGGCAGTATTGTCATATGCAAGACAACAAACATACAATATGTCAAATTCTAGCTGTAGATCTGGTCACATATCCTTAATTATTAATCAACTTTCTTGGCTGCAACACTTTATGATAATTTCAACTGGACATAGGAAATGGAAAAGACCTGTTAATGAGAAGATGAAGTTTTGTCCTCTACTTTTACCTTCTCCGGCCGAAAAAATGTCTCGTAGTAGTAGGTCGGTTGCAAGATTTTACATTAATTTTTAAATGTTGAATGATAGATGTTTGCTCGTAGTAGTAGGTCGGTTGCAAGATTTTACATTAATTTTTAAATGTTGAATGATAGATGTTTGCTTCACGCCCACTGGCAAATATTTTATTCATGTTCATGACGAAAACAAATTAACGATAAAGACAATAGGTTGTCATTAATAGAGTCCGTTCGGGATGAAGGTCGGGGAAATTTGAACTGACACTCAAAAATGAGGGTATATTCGATAGGGACAGAAAGATTGCCTTGCAACAGGCCACCGATCAACCCCTAAGCCAGTTATTGCAAGGTTTTTAACGTGCAAAGAGTGTGGCAGTCTCTCAATCGCATTTCACGACCTTATTCTGACCACCCCCCCCCCCCCCCCCCATTGCCAAGAATTTTACTGCCGGTCGGAAGAAGACAAAAGTAACCATATATATATATTCCATAGTCAACCTTCGGAAGCTAATTTGAAATAAATGTTACAAATGTATCAATAATGCAAAGCACTAGACATCACATTGAACAGGTTAACAGACATGTGCTGATTCATATCGCATAATCAAGGTTTTAATATTCATATATCCAATCTTTCCTTTTGAGTTTTAATTTTTATCATAAATTATGATATCCCTTTAAAAGCAAATGAAAAAAAATTAGAGGATCGTGGAGGTCAAAATCGCACACCTAGAAAATATATCGAATAATAAATGCCTAAACAGCGGCAGCTATCTTTTTTACACTGATTATGATTTTGACCAGATTTCAGTCAGACCAGCAAGAAGAATATTTCTTAATACATGGTAATGTAATTCAATAACAAAAACTCCTCTAGGAAGTGAATTGACGAGTTTTATCCATTGTTTGTCTTGCAGTTCTTTAATGCCGATCATCTTGTTTCTCAAATCTAATCTTTAATCAATCCTAATCCTATCTTATTTTTGGGAAATATTTTTACAAATTCAAATGTGACGTCACTTTGTGTGTTTTTATTTTTAAATTTCAAATGTGACGTCACTTTGTGCGTTGAGGCTTTGGCTAACTCGGCTGTGTATTTTTTTATGTGTTGGATTAAGTTGTTTTATGTAATGTATCCGTTTTTATTCTGTAGTTAGTCCCCACTTTGGTTTTATCATGTATATATCTATTATATAGTCATTTTATAAAATTTACTGTTTGCAAAATTATAAATTATTCTAAATAATAAGGATGTTCTTGTCCCAGGCAGAAACTCCTGGCCGTGTTAGGCGCTACTTTTTGGAAGTTTTGGTCCTCGGTGCTCTTCAGCTTTGTACTTGTTTTGGCTTTCAAACTTTTTTCATCTGAGCGTCACTGGTTGGTCTTGTGTGGACGAGACGCACGTCTGACTTATTGAATTTTAAGCCTAGTACCTTTTGTTAGCTATTATTCGTGTGTTTTTTTGTCCTATATGTTCTCCCATTTATTTGTATTGTGGTCCTGTCATGTGATGTTGTCGTTTTGGTGTTGTGTTTGACGTTGCCATAAAAGCTGGAGGTTTTTAATGCCACAAAACCAGGTTCAACCCACCATTTTTTCTTAAAATGTCCTGTACCAAGTCAGGAAAATGGCCATTGTTATATTATAGTTCGTTTCTGTGTGTGTTACATTTTAATGTTGTGTTTTTGTTGTGTCGTTGTTCTCTTATATTTGATGCGTTTCCCACAGTTTTAGTTTGTAACCTGGATTTGTTTTTATCTCTATCGATTGGTGAGTTTTCGAACAGCGGTATACTACTGTTGCCTTTATTTCTCTTTATCTTTAAAATTTCTGAGATATACAATGTAGCCATTAACCATCATTTAAAGCCAATTACTCCTTTATAAAATCGATTGACGTTTCTGTTAACATATTTAAATATCTCATTTTGCTAAACATTTCTGGTTTTTCACTCTAAAGTAGTTTCACAAAAGTTGAAATAAATCATAGAAGGACAGAATCTTATACAAGGAGTTCATTGACAATTTCGGGCATTATGCGTATGTGTGAACATGTTATTTTGATCATTTTTGTAGTACATGCCTTTCTATATATATGATTATTCTGGCTGTACAAGTTTTTCTATATTTATGATATTTTTCCTTCACTTGTATCTTTTTATCTTTATTCCTTTTTGCTGTACACGTCTTTCAACATCTATGATTCTTTTCAACATGATAGAAAAAAAATCATTGAAGGGCAGTAACTCCCAATGAAGGCAATTGACAATTCCGAGCGAAATGAAAATGTTCTAAATGATAGGCTGTCTCAGTCTCTTATACATTTCGATACAACCATAGGTTGTCTCAGTCTCTTATACATTTCGATACAACCGTCCTAAAATGTTGTCCTATTTGTTATAGGTTTAGCAAGTCAAGCCATAGTTGTCCATATGGATCAAATACAAACAAGATGCGCCATGAAACATCGAGGTAAATTTGTATAAACACTTGGCCATACATTGTTTAATAGACGAGATTGTTTAATAAATTATTTACTAGTAGGACAACAGACGCCACGTGAAGAGAAAAGCTGATGCTTTAAATCTTTTAATGATAAGCACATTGCAAAGCTTGCCCACTTTAATCGTTAAGGATGTACTTAGGTGATCGAAGGTAAAATTAAATAAATCAAGAATTCAAAATTGATATTTTAAGCTGGAAGAGTATTAGTTAAGGATCAAAATAAGCTAAAAATATTGATAGGTCATGGAGCTCCTTTTCGAGATATTTGATTTATAAAATATGGCGGTAAAAGGCTGGCTCGGACTTTTACCTTATATTTGCATTGGTATTATTTTGGTCTCAAATCAAAAGAAAGAAAATCAAGAATCTGCTTAAATTTTGTCAAATGACCATTTATGAGCTATTAAGTCTTATGTTAAAAGATAAATAGGTGTTATGGGGCAAAATATTTTATCTTGTATCGTATGGAAAACACTGAGGAGTCCGAACATTTGACACTTATTCCAAAACCTCACCTAAGTACATCCTTCAGGTAGTGTATTGTCCTTTTGTCGAACCTTCATTCTTATGGCAATGCTGTTGTTTTTTTTTCGCGACTTTGGTTTTTGATTGTCACATCCCCTCCCCCTTTTTAAGTTTTCAATATAACACAGACTTTAAGCAATTAGTTATGGAAGACTCTTTGATAATGCGCCTACAACTTACTCGTCTGTAAACTCTTCTGTTGCTTCAAGAACAGATTTGTGCCTAACAATTCCTGCATTATTTACTAAGAGATCTACTCGTCCTACGTCTTCAATCACTTTCCTTGTGTTGTTCCAGTTTCCAATATCTAAACATCTTGTTTCAATTGCTGAATCCTTCAAAAAGAAAGGCAAAGAGTCCTATTGGCACAAGCTGTAGACATTTTAAACGTGATTGTACATTTTTTTCTGTCGATAATTATATCTTGAAATAGGGCATTTACACTTAACTTAACTCAGATAGGTGACTGCTACATAAATAATGCATCCCACAAAAGCTATTTAAGTAGTTTTTTTGTCATAATGATGCGCCGAAAATGTCTTTTTTTTTCATTGTGCCAATAGGACTATTTGCCTCTAAAACTTAAGCAGGAATATTTAAATGATACTACCATACTAGACAAAGCTACCTGGAAACAAACAACTTGCATTTTCACTTATGAATGTACCTTCGATTTGTTCATACAACGCATTATAACTAACATCAAAAGCAAAATTAAAAGATTGATTGATTGATTGTTGGTTGCTTAACGTCCAGTGGCAAATATTTCATGCATATTCAGGACGAGAACAAGTTCACAATAAATACAATAGGTAGGTTCTGTAATAGATGAAGGGATTAAGGTCGGAGAAATTTAGACTGCCACGGGAAATGAGGGTATATTGGATAGGGACAACAATTTAGCCTTGCAACAGGTCGACTACGGACCCCTCAAAGAGTTGTTGCAAGGGTTCTTAACGTGCAAAGAGCGTGGCACTCTCTTTACACGAGGCATCGGATTTAACGTCCCCATTCTGACCGGACGTGGCTGCAAATTTGTACATCCCGCACAGCCAAACGGACGCCCCACTTTAGCACGGGTTTTACTGCCGGTCAGAGGAAGACCAATGGTGACCATACTTCTATTCCCCAGTCACCCTTGGGGGGGGGGGGGGGGGGGGGGGGGGAATTAAAAGAGGAGCAAAAGATAACAAAGGGACATTGAAACTCATAAGTCGAAAATAAACTGACAACGCCATGGCAAAAACGAAAAAGACAAACAACAGTAGACAAAACACAACATAGAAAACTAAAGACTAAGTAATCAACACGAACACAACAAAAAGCGGGAGTGATCTCGGGTGCTCTGGAAATTAAACAGATCCAGCTCCACATTTGTCACACGTCGTGTTGCTCATGTAAGTATAAACCTGGTTATAATTCTAATTCTAATAGGTCACATTCGAGGAAAAGAGGTTGGGATTGTGGTTACGACAATTGAAACATATTCGTCGTCATCTGTGAAAAAGACATTCCATAACAGTCAACCAACTCGTGATGGCGCCCGTAAAAAAATTTGAAGAGATGATTTCAAATTCACCACATGGAACTCTTGGTTTAATAGCTTCCGTGTGAACAGCAACCCTCTATCAAGGAAATCATGATAGGAAATACAAGCTCTGGAATATCGTATCAACAGGGAGAACATATGCAAAGTTCACAATATGCAAACGCTGTTAGAATGTTTGCTACATAGAAATGGGAAGAAGTGTTAAAGAATCTTACTAGCTTCTTTTCATTCTTCCTGAGATTGATTGATTGATTGATTGTTGGTTGCTTAACGTCCAGTGGCAAATATTTCATGCATATTCAGGACGAGAACAAATTAACAATAAATACAATAGGTAGGTTCTGTAATAGAGGCGTCTGGGGTTGAGGTCGGAGAAATTTAGACTGCCACGGACGTACAGATGGACAAAGATGAAACTTTATGTCATCTCGTTAAGTTGCTAAAGTAGTATCGGCAATTTTAACATTGACCCTGCTCGCAGCGCCAATGAAGTATCTACTAATAAACATCTAAATACCAACAAAAAAATTGGATGGTCGGTCATTCAGTCAGGAACGGCCGGACTGCTCTTCCGTGATAAATGTCGTCTGTTTAGCCTTTATTATTTACCGGAAGAGGCTGATTTCTAGGTAGTTCTTCGGACATCTCTAGATGGTCTATCTGATGACCTAAAACTAAACATAAGAATATAACACTACTTATCATATTACCTTTAACTTGACAGGTTATTTAACAACCCTGACGGGAGAGTACAACGTAAACAAGTGTGCGCCACTCCACAGTAAAGTAGTGCAGATTGCACTCCCCAACAAAAAATGGAGTGTGCAAGAAGGGATTATGTAAGAACGCACCCAAAACTTTGGAAAAAGTAGTTGAATAGATGAATATGCCTCAAGAGAAAAAACAAAGAGATGTTTATAAAGATGAATAGAGCCAAACTATTGCATACACACAGAGATACTAAACCAAATCAAAAATGCTAAGTACCGGAACAAGATTAAATCACAGCCTGCCTATGCTAATGTTGCAGATGAGATTATTGCCGTTGTAGGGATGCGCAATCAACCTCCGTTTGTACAACAGATAATTCATAACAAGAACTAAGTACCGGCAATAGTTTGTTATACAGAAGTACAAATTGACAGAACCTTCAGTCTGGGTAGCTTTCACGTTACGTCTATAGTTTATAAGAACTTGCGCGTACACAGAAAAGAAACCAAAGACCATCCAATCTTCGCAGGACCAATGCTGCTACACAAGGACGCATCATATACAACATATAGATCTTTCTTTTCTCACATTTCTGCCACACTGGAACTTGCAATAGATGATGCCGAACTTCGACTGCATGAGAATATAGAGTTCGGCAGTGACGACGAAAAGGCGCTGACCAAGGCCATAGAAAAAGCTTTTCCAACAGCAAAACGACGATTATGTACTAAACATTTGAAAGACAATGTGCAGCATTACTTGTGTTGGTGTCAGCACACAAGAAAGGAAAAACATCATCAACGCAATCTTCGGAGACGACGGCATAGCAAGTGCAGACGATACTTTCCAATTTGAAAGTGCGGATGCACAACTTAAGGATTATGTTCAATTTACCCTCAGTTCCTTAAATACTACGAACAGAGTTTTAAACCAAGAGTTCGCGAGTTTGTTAATGCAGCAAATAGCATTTGGGCACCTACAAATTGTGGACAAACATTAACACAGAATCTATGAACCGTGTAATGAAAGTGGCAGTCAACTGGAAGCCTCAAAATGCCCAGATTTGGTCAAAAAACTGTTTGACATGGTGGACTTTCAGTTCACCAATCTTAGATCAGCACTGCATCATTCAGGTGACTACATTCCTGTCAATTCCTTCAAATAATATATGATTGCTGGTGCTATCTGTAAAACGAAATCAGACGAGGAAAAAAGAAAGCTCTATAATAATTTCTTACTGGACAGTAAGAAACGAAAACATGACAATGTCATAATTTTCTCTGATGGACTGTATTCGGTTGTTAACAAGGCAAAGTTAAAAGCCAGGAAACCAATGCAGAGAAAGAGACCAAAAAACCGAAAATGCCGTAAAAAGACATTAATCTTCTATGATCGATTGATTGATTGTTGGTTGCTTAACGTCCAGTGGCAAATATTAAATGCATATTCAGGACGAAAACAAATTAACAATAAATACTATAGGTAGGTTCTGTAAAAGGGGCGTCCGGGATCAAGGTCGGAGTAATTTAGACTGCCACGGGAAATGAGGGTATATTGGATAGGGATAGAAATTTAGCCTTGCAACAGGTCACCTACGGACCCCTCAAAGAGTTGTTGCAAGGGTTCTTAACGTGCACAGAGCGTGGCACTCTCTTTACACGATTGATTGATTGTTGGTTGCTTAACGTGCAGTGGCAAATATTTCATGCATATTCAGGACGAGAACAAGTTTACAATAAATACAATAGGTAGGTTCTGTAATAGATTAATGGATTAAGGTCGGAGAAATTTAGACTGCCACGGGAAATGAGAAAATATTGGATAGGGACAGAAATTTAGCCTTGTAACAGGTCACCTACGGACCCCTCAAAGAGTTGTTGCAAGGGTTCTTAACCTGCAAAGAGCGTGGCACTCTCTTTACACGAGGCATCGGATTTAACGTCCCAATTCTGACCGGACGTGGCTGCAAATTTGTACATCCCGCACAGCCAAACGGACGCCCCACTTTGACGAGGGTTTTACCGCCAGTCGGAGGAAGACCAATGGTGACCATACTTCTATTCCCCAGTCACCCTTGGGGGTTTTCTTCCTGAGAAGCTGTTGTATGAAAGTAAAATAACAAAATTACCGAACTCGAAGGAAAATTCTAAACGGAAAGTCCCTTATAAAATGGCAAAATCAAAAGCTGAAACACATCAAACGAATGGAAAACAACTGTCATTTTCCTGACCAGCATTTCCTTGTGAAGAAAATGGCGAATTTACCTAGTTTTAAAGCAAGCTAGACCTCTCACTTGTACAACAGTCTCATAGAATTCCATTATATTGACAACAATGTGTGAGCAAAACAAACAGACATAATAGGTAAACAAGTCACAAATTGGGGTACAGCAGTCACATTGTGTAATAATCTCAATCACTATAAAAGCAAACATTCTAATATGACGTTCTTCTTTCGCTTTGGAAACAAAGCCATGTTATAATTCTAATAAAAAATGGGCAGTACGTGATTGACGTCACAATTGAAATTGTAACGTCAGTTGTGTTTAGAACAACGCTGGGAATCAAAATGGACATTTGTATTGATGTTTCATGCTGTACGTTTACATGTATCTTTCATTTCTGTTATCGTGAAAAGGTTAATTTTCTATAACGTTTTGGCTTCATCAAATCAACATGGATGCCTTTTAAATGCGTATTATAGGTCCGCTTCGAAGTACAACAGATCTAAATTTTCCTAGTAGAATCGAAATAATTATATCATGCCATGCTCTATGCTCATTTAAACATGGGTAGGCATTATATTTGTCAACATTTTACATATGTTACATTTTCAAATTTAAATAATTGATGTTTGCTTAACGCCCAGTGGCAAATATTTTATTCATGTTTAAAATGGCATATAAACAAAGCACCTTACAAACATGAAAGACAAGAATACCAAAAATAACCATAGCGCAATAACACAATCGCGGGATGTATAGACACCGAGCCACGAATGAAGTCAGCCTCATATGAATAAAGGAACAAGTCTACAAGATAAGGAGCACAGTGGTTCCCATGGAAATGCCCATTGTTTGTTGAAAAAACACGTCTTACAAACGTAACAAATATGTTGTCAATAAAAAAATCAAGCAACTTGATAATGTCAGTCCCACAGAATTTTTTGTTAGAATGAGAGTGATTTTTTATATATGGTACAATTTATCCTTCCGTTAGGCAAGAAATTGTATCTATGTTGGCCATTTCTTTTTATGGAACAAAGCAAGACAAATTCTTTCAGTTTGTCTTTGAGTTTGGAATGGTAACTACTTTTTCTATAGGGCAGAAATGTGAAATAGTTAAATACTATTGAAAGATGAAATGGTCTTCGATTTTATGTACTCTAACAGATCTTTGGATTATTTTTTTAGTATTCAACTCTGATTCAGGCCGACCCTAGAATAGGTAGGTTTACAATTACGTCGAAGCCCGGCTTTGATTGCTGATAATACACAGCCATAAGGATATATAATACACATTCATAACATGTTCTTTCAATTTTAGAAATATAATTCGAACATTGAAAATTGTTTAAAAGAAAGTTTTGATTAGTACACCAATTTATCAATAAATATATTGTCTGCCTTAAATATAAAAATAAGAAAATATGGTATGATTCCCAATGAAACAACTCTCCACAAGAGACCAAAATGACACATAAGTTAAGTTTATATTATAATATGATAAAAAAAAAACCGGGTCAATATGCCGAAGGTCTGTCATTGATTAACTAAAATTTTTAAAAAAGCGATGTCCTTGTGCTTTCCCGTAAAGATATTGACGGTCACCAACTACATCCTACTTTCAAACATTTTTATTGTATGGCATATATGTAACAATTATCACTACACGTACTAGAAGTATAAGTTTACAGGAATTGATTGATTGATTGGTTGTTGTTGTACGCCACTTTCAGTACTATTGTGTTATTTCGTGGTATTTTTGTTGGAACAGGAAACCGGAGTGCTGAGAGAGACCAACCGACTTGCGGAAGGAAAACTGACGATCCTAGTCAAATAAGATTGGATCGACCGCACCTGCAACCTGCGGGATTCAAATTCACAACATCAGTGTTGACAGGCTTGTGATAAAATAGTTCGACTTCTTACACCACTCGGCCATCGAGCCTATTACGTTTACATGAAACATACAGTCATTACTTATAGCTTTTTGTTTTTGCACAAGTTTTTCTTACCTCCTCTTTTAAGCTCCCAAGATCTGCCTCTGTCCTGCTAACAGCGAAGACTTTAGCTCCTAGCTCTGATAATTTAAGAGCGATACAGCGTCCGATACCTATTAAACGGAGGGAAAACATAAAGTTAACATAAATAAATTTATAATATTGTAACCACATGACTTTTGAAAAGGCTCCAATTACAATGTTTTGAAGATCATATCGTATTTCATGTCGTATCAAGAAATATGGTCACATCGACATCCTCAGAACAAGAACAAGAAGCGTAACGAGTTGAACGCCCTTCAGACTGTATATATAATACACATTCAAAAGGTGAAAACAAACTTACAAGAACCAATGCTCAGTTTTCAGAGAGTGTTGCTTATTCGCATTAAAGAATTATTGAAATTACTCTAAGGAGGTCATTGCAAGAACACGGCGTATTGTAACCAACGCAACCCATTTCATGTTGCACTGCTAAATTGCTGCACTTCATTCCGGTCAATACACTTAAAACAAATAGTCTAAATAGTTGCTGTGTACTCCGATCATATGGATAGGCATAGATGGGCATACTCGGCAATACATGTTTGTTTACATAACAAGCCAAAAATATTTACCTAGGTAATTGACTAGTCCAGTGAACGGGTTGCTTTGCATGATGGACTACTACATGTGTACAATTTACCGAGAACATTAGTTTTCTACTGTCATACAAACAAATTTTAACACATTGCCGGAAAAAAACAATCATCTTACTTTTTCTTCTTTTGTGTTGACAATTACAGACCATTTAACAAGGTATTTTTTCTATATTCTGATTTACAAATAAATATTTCTGCCATAAGAAAATAGATTTTGAAATACATGTAGCACATAGCCAGTAACAATATGGATGAAAAAAAAATTAACAGATTTCAGGCATTTATTCACGAGACAGCAACCGAACGACAAAAAAAGATATAAGACTTACATCCATTTATATTTTCAAAACCGGGAGGCATGATCTATGATGAAACTTGAAACTTAAAAATCATGGAAAAACATTTCTATAGAATGTATAAATATATCTATAAACAGGTACTATAGATGTATGTAGAAGTGCTACATACCATAAAACCACCTTTTTATTGAAATTACTGTAGTCTTGTCTTAATTCATGTCTTATATTTTCCAGAACATCTATGAGATCAGGTTTTTCAAGGGTATTTCATTTTCATATTTTTTTCTAATTTAAAATGTTCCATATGTTTTGTATGTATGCCATTAATATGTTCGTCAATCATTGTAAAACGATGTAGTTTTTGCTTTGTTTTCGTCTTTACAGGGTGGACTTACCTCTGTTTTAGACATAGGGATCTTATAATCTTTTAACAGACCAGGATACATGCCGAAATAGATAAAATCAGCTATGATTGTCTTCATATAAAAGTTCGACATGGTCGTGAAATTTGTCATTGTTTTGGACCCATCTTATCCAAATTAATTGTTTTTGCATGACTGGATATAAGTAATTACACTTTCGAAGTTCTGCCCGAAAAAAATATCCTTTTCAGATTTAAATTGTTGTTTCCTGATATATTCGGATATACCAAGTAAACCATTAATATAGTGTGTCAATTCTTCGTAACTGTTTCCCATTTTGCGCCATTGGCGACATTAGATATATGATTTTTCATGTTACGGTTATGCTCTTCTAAAATAAACGGTCTAAACCTTGGTGATCATCTAAATGACAAGAACGGGAAATGTTTTGTTAAAAAAATAAAATAAATTATTAAAGATAAGGAATCTGCCACAGGATCCAAGACTGTCAATTAGCATGTATTGTCTGTGGTGTCTCTCATACCATATTTGCCAATCAGGATATCTGTGCCGTATTCTCTGTGATTTTTGAAAGCGCAGTTGTTTTAAAAAGGCATTATAATGCACGGTAAAAAAAATTCTTGAGTACACAGTAGCATGTAACCTATTCCTCTTAAACGTTTATACTAGTTTTTAAGACCTCAAATAGTTTAATACTGGACAGTGGTCACTTCATTTCTTATTAAACGTGACATAAATACACAGTTTCAGTGAATAACAATAGACAAAACCTGTTCAACTACGACAAGACTTAAATAAAGGTCGAATTCTGAAGCCTGTGAACAATATATTTTTTTTTTAATTTGAGCCTGCAAATTGAAGATTATGTTATTCACATGATCTTGATCACATATGCTGAATAAAAATATTAAACATTAGATTCCGATATATATATATAATTATATTTCTATATTATAGTTTTCAAAAAGGTTCTTATATAAATAAAGTTTATTTTTGCATCTTAATATGAATAAAATTTACAAAGTAGTTTTTAGAGGTTGTTTTTATATATAACCTTTAAATGAATAATTTATTTTTAGGTCTAAAGTAGTATCTTGTTGTATCTGTGTTTTATCGAAATTCAGTTCACAAAGAATATGTGTTGCATAGGTAAACCAGGAGTATACTGCTTCTGTGTCTAAATTTTTGCTAAAGATGTAAGCCTCTTTCAAAAGAGTATTTAACTTATAACATTTAACGAATCAATAATATTAACGTCACTAGTCTTTACGAATATGATATTTGCAACTTTCTGATTGTTGAATGAAAAATGTAGTTGACAATATAAGCATTGTATATCTTAATGAAGTTATTGTTGATAACTCGTTACAGCATTAATTATATACTGGTACGTAAAGTAGCCATTAGTAAATATAAATACAGAGTAACACATTGTAGATCACATTCCCATATAGGTTCAATTAATGGCCAAGCCTAGTGTAAAAGGTCACGTAACACCGATGCCCATTTCAATGCATGTAAACATTGATCATGACAGATTAATAAGATAAAGAACAGATTGAATGTGATACTTTCTATTATGTCCTGTACCAAGTCAGGAAAATGGCCATTGTTATATTATAGTTCGTTTCTGTGTGTGTTACATTTTAATGTTGTGTTTCTGTTGTGTCGTAGTATGTGTTTCCCTCAGTTTTAGTTTGTTACCTGGATTTGTTTTTTTCTCAATCGATTTATGAATTTCGAACAGCGGTATACTACTGTTGCCTTTATCTATATTATATAGTCTGTGATATTTCGCAAAAGTACATAATGAAACACCTGTAACAAGGGCAATTTTACCTTTGGAGTTGATGTTCGTTTTTATAAAGATATGATCAGCTAAAACATTTAATTTAACATCGATAAACAAACCTTGACATACACATGGTACAGGTAAAGATGTGATCAGCTAAACTATTTACATTAACATAAATAAACAAACCTTGACATACCGGTAACATTGAGGTCACTAAACCTTATAGTGTCAGACAAAACGTTTTTGTTGTCTTTTGTGTTGAAGAGTACTCAGTTATTAGTTTTATCATATCTCACTAAAGTTTTATCAATAAAAATATAATAGTTTTTAAGAGAAATTGTCACATACCTTTACCAGCACCTGTAACAAGGGCAATTCTACCTGTGAAGTTGATGTTCATTTTTTTTAAAATATGACCAGCTAAAACATTTAATTTAACATCGATAAACAAACCTTGACATACACATGGTACAGGTAAACATTGTAAAGTCCGCACTTTTATCTAACTTTAGTAAACCAAACATCATATCATCAAGTACATAATACCAGATACAGAACAGACACTTACCATTCAATAGAGTATATGTTAAAGAGGTAGTGAGAATGTGTAATCTAAATATTTAATTATCAGTCACTATGAAGTAATTGCTTATTGTTTAAACACTAAATTTCCTATTTACCTTCGACTGAAAGTTGATCAAGTAAACCGATTAACTTCGTGAAAGAAATCTAACAAATTAAAACTACGGAAAAAATCTGAACTAAAAACATGCAAAGTATATTAATTAAATGTTTCGTAATCGTAAACATAATAGTCCAAGTCTTTCGGTCTTCTTGTACTTCGTTTCAATTACCGAATAGGAATTAACTGTTCTTTCTTGTGATAACTAGTAGACTGGCTTAAGGGAAGAGGGAACGTTTACTATTTTGGATGAATCACAAAACATGTAATATTTTGTACATACAAGAAACGCATTTCACCACGAATATAGAAAATAACCTAATGAATGAATTTGAGGGATCACTTTATCATAGTTTTGGAACATCATAAGCAAAAGGAGCCTCAATTTATATAAGAAAATATCTGAATCATAAAGTAATTGATCAATGTTTGAATAAGGAAGGAAGATTGATTCTTTTAAATATAGAAATAAATGAAAATATAAACAAGTCTAAATTGAAAACAACGTTCAAACCTAGGATTGCATTGGATAAAAAACCGCAATTTTTATACGTGTGCATGCAAAACAAATTTCTTGGTAGAGGGGTCTAAATACAGCACAAACAACATTTTCCAAAAGACCAAAAAAGTGAAAAAGTATATTTAAACAAAACGCATTTGACTAGCAGGCCGAACAACGGATGTTCTTTAACCCTGCTGACTGCCATGGCGATTTCCAAATAAACGGATCACCAGATGTAACAAAATGGATCTAATCAATGAATATATATATACACTGATAAATATTTATGCCCAAAACGCCCATACTGAAAGAAATGCCTTTATTTGAAAATAAAAGATGCTGTTGAAAATTATAGTTTTGAAATGTTAATAATAGGAAGAGATTTGAATGACATTTTATCAAATAAAGACAATAAAACTATAAACCTGAAAAAAAAAATAGAAAACCAGTAAACAATTTAAAAATGATGATAGAATCTCTAAAACTCATTGACATTTGGAGAGAATTAAACGTTGCAACCAAACAATTTACATGAAAATGAAGGAAAAAAAAACAGCTACAAAGAAGCCACTCGCATAGACTACTTTCTGATCAGTCCAGAATTAATAACACTGGTATTACCAGCTGATACCAGACCAGCAATAATAACACTTACAGATCACCAAGCAATATCACTAAAAATTAGATAATGTCCACAAAATAAAGGTAAAGAGTTCTTTCAATTAAATAAATATGGCGTAATACATACTGATACAGATTTAATTTTACAAATTGAACGAGATTACTATTAAGATATTTACGAAAGCTCTAATTCAAATAAAAAACAAATTGAAGAATACATTATAGATATTAAAATAGACCACAAGCTAATAGAAAAAGAAAGTTCTACCTTAGAGGGAGAAATAAGCATAAAAGAATGCACAAAAGCCGTATTTAAGATGAAATTAAACAGTTCTCAAGGGTCAGACGGTCTCAGTGTGGAATTTTATCAAACCTTTTGGAGTGACCTTTTGAGAATTTGCAATAAAATTGAGAATGGAAATGGGGAATGTGTCAAAGAGACAACAACCCGACCACAGAACAGACAACAGCAGAAGGCCACCAACAGGTCTTCAATGCAGCGAGAAATTCCCGCACCCGGAGGCGTCCTTCAGCTGGCCCCTAAAAAAATATATATACTAGTTCAGTGATAATGAACGCCATACTAAACTCCAAATTGTACACAAGAAACTAAAATTAAAAATAATACAAGACTAACAAAGGCTAGAGGCTCCTGACTTGGGACAGGCGCAAAAATGCGGCGGGGTTAAACATGTTTATGAGATCTCAACCCTCCCCCTATACCTCTAGCCAATGTAGAAAAGTAAACGCATAACAATACGCACATTAAAATTCAGTTCAAGAGAAGTCCGAGTCTGATGTCAGAAGATGTAACCAAAGAAAATAAACAAAATGACAATAATACATAAATAACAACAGACTACTAGCAGTTAACTGACATGCCAGCTCCAGACTTCAATTAAACTGATAGAAAGATTATGTCTTCATCATATGAATATCAGGCACAATCCTTCCCGTTAGGGGTTTAGTCATATATACATTTAATAAATGTTATGAAAAAGGGGAACTAACTGAAACACAAAAACTGGGGATTATCTCCCTTATTAATCAAAAGAATGATCAATTGCTCATAAAAAATTACAGGCCTAAAACACCGCCAAATGTTGACACAAAGTTGATTGCATATACCCTAGTACAAATAATTAAAAATATTCTACCACAAATTATTAGATTGATTGATTGTTGGTTGCTTAACGTCCAGTGGCAAATATTTCATGCATATTCAGGACGAGAACAAGTTAACAATAAATACAATAGGTAGGTTCTGTAATAGGGGCTTCCGGGATTAAGGTCGGATAAATTTAGACTGCCACGGGAAATGAGGGTATATTGGATAGGGACAGAAATTTAGCCTTGCAACAGGTCACCTACGGACCCCTCAAAGAGTTGTTGCAAGGGTTCTTAACGTGCAAAGAGCGTGGCACTCCCTGTACACGAGGCATCGGATTTAACGTCCCCATTCTGACCGGACGTGGCTGCAAATTTGTACATCCCGCACAGCCAAACGGACGCCCCACTTTAGCACGGGTTTTACTGCCGGTCGGAGGAAGACCAATGGTGACCATACTTCTATTCCCCAGTCACCCTTGGGGTACAAATTATTAGTGCGAATCAAAATGGTAATATTGCAAATCGATATATTGAGTATAATGTAAGACAAATTCAGGTTATCATAGATTATGCTGAATCATTTAAAAAAGAAGGAGCCTTGTTATTTTTATACTTCTCAAAAGCGTTCGATACACTTGCACGGGAATATATTTATCCAGCGTTACAAAAATTTGGCTTTCAAAAAACAAAATGAAATGTCTTAAATAATAAATGTAATAGAAAAATTTGGGACATTCTCAGGGCTAAAACTAAATAGAGCAAAAACTGAAGGAATATGGTTAGGTAAACGTAACACAGCATGGACAAATTTGAAAACATTAACTGGACAAAAGGACCAATTAAGTCTTTATTACTATATTTTTGATTGAATAAAAAAGAGTGCCAACATTTAAATTTTGACAAACAGTTCCAAGAATCAGAGAAAAAAATATTAAATACTTGGAAGAGAAGAAATTAAACGATGATAGATCGAACAACTTTTGTAAAAACTCTCATCATCCCAAACTTGACATATTTAGCAACAGTATCCAATATAGATAAGGAACATTTAACACAATTTAATCAAATTATTTTTGATTTCATTTGGAACAATCGAACAGAAAAAGTGAAAAGAACAGTATTATGAACCCTAATATTACAAGGAGCTCTAAATATGACAGACAGTGTAAAAACAAATTGAAGCAATTCAAATAGAATGGGTCAAAAGATTAACATATCCTGAAACCTCTAACTGAAAAGTTTTACCAAGGTTCTTTTTTGATAATTTTGGGGAAAAAAATCTAAATTTTATTATGAACATAGAAAATATGAATTCAATATCTAACATAAATAAGTGCAAAATACCAGACTTTTACTTAAATAATCAAAACATGGATAAATATACAAAGCGAAAAACTGCAACAGCTGAAAACTTTAGATCAATTCGACAGTGGAATTTTCCGACTGGGCCGCTCCGATAGTACCTGTAGTTAAGGAGAACTGATCTATTAGAATTTGTGGTGACTACAAGGTAACCGTTAATGCCGTTTCAAAGTTGGATAATTATCCGATTCCTAAAACTGAGGATTTATACGCAACGCTTGGAGGAGGACAAAAATATACAAAATTGGATTTAAATCAAGCATACCAACAAATTGAACTTGATGAGGACAGTAAAAGGTATGTGACTATAAACACGCACAAGGGTTTATTCAGATACAATAGACTTCCGTATGGTGTAGCGTCAAGCCCAGGTATTTTCCATAGAACACTTGAAAATGTTGTTCAAGGTATATCCAATGTTTTGGTTCGGGTAGATGATATACTGATAACGGGTAAAAACAAGGGAGGAACATCTAAATACTCTTTCTGAGGTTTTGTCTAGATTTAAGAGAATCGGAATTCGGTTAAAGAAACAGAAGTGTGTGTTCATGGCCGAAGAAGTTGTTTATTTGGGATTTGAAATAAACAAACACGGAATCTATCCAGTGGAGAGTAAAGTTGAGGCGATCGATAAAGCCCCAAGTCCGACAAACGTGACAGAACTGAAAGCTTATCTTGGAATGCTGAACTATTACAATAGATTCTTAGCGAATTTGTTTCACTTGTTAAAGCCGCTACATGTACTTCTACAGAAAGAGACAAAATGGAGTTGGGGAAAAAGAACAGGAAAAAGCGTTCAAAGAGTCAAAACAGCTGTTGAAATCCGCATCAGTACTTGTACATTTCGATCCGAAAAAGAAATTAATCTTAGCATGTGATGCATCTCCGTATGGAGTCGGGGCCGAACTTTCGCATAAAATGGACGACGGCAGTGACAAACCAATAGCTTATACATCTCGAACACTTACATCGGCAGAGAAGAATTATTCCGTTCTTGAAAAGGAAAGTCTGGCCATAATATTTGGTATCAAGAAATTTCATCAATATTTGTATGGACACCCCGTTACAATCATAACCGACCACAAGCCGCTTATCGGTTTATTTCGAGAAGATAAACCTATACCGACAATGGCCGCATCTCGAATTCAAAGGTGGGCACTGACTTTAGCTGCATAT